AAAATAGTGCAAAAGCACATGTCGAAAAAACACTTTATCGCGTTCCATTTTTCACAAAGCAAAAGAAATTGTTGTTTAGGAAAATAATTGTGTATGCTGACTGAATGTTATCGAGAAATGTCGAAATTAATCACAAACTACCTGTTTCGTTAGTAATGACTACTAGAACTGTTTGCATTGCCATCTAACATTTGCGGGCGGAAACTAAGTTAAGGTCCTAATATATGTAATATGTACACGTTATGTAATTGTCATATTTGCTATATTTGTCGTTTGTCACATTTGTCATACAGAAAGGAATACAAATTAAGTGAAGCAAACAACATCCATAAAAAACAAACGATAATAAAAATTAATTGACAGACAATTAAGTGGTCTCACAGGATATCGAGCTTGTCACTCGAGAGTTCTCTCACGTTCGTTTGCTACCCTCGCTCGAGTCACCCGCTTCCACATACACACGCGCGCACACACACATACACACATATCGCGTTACGTAAAAATTCCAGCGCAGAGAGCGTCGATAGCGATCAATAGTTCCGCGAGATTGCGAAGTCGACTGCACACGCGATGTAGGAGAGAAAAAATCGCCGGGTGTAATAAGTCGGCGCACGGGGTGCGCTAATGTGTGCACCGATGGTGAGAGAGAAGTCAGAAGTCTACCGTAATATTTACCGCGTGACATTTACCGTCGCGATTCTTTCCTCTGCGCTATGGCGAGAATTATTTAATCGCCGCCTTCCTGCAAAGGAGGCGATCTTGCAACGTGATATCGTTGTATCTAACTGATCGCTAATTACAGTGTACAGGAGACAGATGGATCTTTCTTCGAGAGCTTCACCGCGCTATCCTGGAAACAGGAAAATCGGAGGCGCGCTGTCCTGCAGGAAGTGGAAGCGAGAGCGATGGAACCGCAACCGCCGTCCAGAGATTCTACTTTGACTTCGCAACCGTATCGGCTTAGCAAAAAGGAGGTCGGTATATGTAACTTCGTTCTGCCTACATGCGACTACGCGTGCAATTCTGGTTTTTTTTTCCTTTTCCCTTTTTACAATTTTAACTTTCTGTCTTCCTGCAAACGTGTATTCGCAATTTATGCTCTTTTGTCGCGAAAGTTTCGCGCGATTAGACGCGATTGAGTGCGCTCTCTCTCTCCCCCCCTCTCTCTCTCTCTCTCTCTCTCTCTCTCTCTGGTAAATTTATTTTTGTTGTGAGTTTTTGCATTTGAAATTACTATCAAAAATGAATAATAATTCTCATTATTATTCATTTTTGATAATAATTTCAAATCACGTTTAATTTTTCCTTTTTTTTTTATTTTGTATGCCTTATATCTTGCAATCACCTCATATTGCTTTAAGCAATATTGATTGCTTCAAGGGATATAACATCCCAGAGCTGAATAAATACCCTAATCTACTTTCCCATCCTCTCTTTCTCCCTCCCCCACTCTCTCCCTGCGCTCGCATTGGCGAATTAAAATTCATCCGACTCGTTGCCTCGCTCGGACGCCGATGTGAAATTTTTACGGCCGCTGTTATACAGCAAACGACGACGAGTTTTCCGCGCTTTCGCGCCGCGAAAGCGAATCGCGTGCCGCGCGGCGCCGTTATTCAACATGCGTCATCTCGCTTACGACGGGCTTGCATGCGGACGAGTAGTTACGTCTGTTCTCCGTACAAAACACACACACACACACACACACGCACATTCGCACAGACGCACCACACACGGCGAGTTTGAAGTATTATCGTAAGTAGATAAAGTCGGCTGCGCGCGTAGTGCTGGTCAGACGGGCGCGCTCGTCGATCGAAATAACAGGCCGCGAGTCCGTAATGAAAGCACTATACCGTATATCCCGCCGTCGCTCCTACTTGCAAACAGCTCGCGAGAGAGGACGAGAAAAACAACTCTCGCACTCTCAGCTCGCGGCGTCCGATTTAAAATCCGAAATCTCTGCTTACAAATCCTATCAGCGTCGCGACTTCTTAACCGTGCAATTTTTTACCGGTTGCAGCGTACCTGCAGTTAGACGTTGATGGAACGTGCGAGAAGCGTCGTTATTCCCGCAACACAAAATTCCTATATTTTCCCGGAGACACGAATCTAAAATATAAATTCGCTCGGACATACGTAAATGTGACGTAAAGTGTAACATTAAGTATACAAATTTCCGCAACGATGGGATTTGCGCCGCAAGAGAGACAGACAGACAGAGTTACGTACCACGTATTTCCGTTGCACGAAAATGAAATATATATAAATTCGAATCGATTCCGCTACTCACACGGATATATCCACAAATCTAATATGCGTGAATTCGCAGATCTAAATTTATGGATCCGTACATTCGCACGTTCCTATAGATTTATAGATCCATCTGTCACATGAATGTGTATTTGTGTATTCGCGATGTGATGTTTTTCGTTGAAATATATGTCTGTGTGTGTGTGTGTGTGTGTGCGTACAAATTTCTCACGCAGCGAAATATTCCCTGGTTATCCGCGCGATTTTTCGCGGGTTGTCGCGCCTCTCCCTCTCTCTCTTTCTCTCTCTCTCTCTCTCTCTCTCTCTCTCTCTCTCTCTCTCTCTCTCTCTCT